GGTCATGATCCCGGGGTCCTGGGATCGAGCCCTGCGTCGGGCTCCCTGCTCAGCAGCGGGTCTGCTCTGCTTCTCCCTCTCCACTGCTTGTGCTACGCTCTCACTACCTTTCTGTCAAATAATTTTTTTTAAATCTTTTAAAAAATGTTTTAAAAAAAGGATAGAGTATGACATCCCACAGACCCAGATGCCACCAGCTCAGGTTGGTTTTCTCAGGACCCTCTGATTTTAAAACTAAAACATCTGTGTCCTGGACGCCCAACCAGGACAGTTGACCACCCTCCATATGCCCCTGGTGGCCCAGGTGCTTTAGGAGGTACGCAGACACGTCGTCATTATTGGTTCTCATGTGAAACCAGAAAAAAACATAAATGGTATATCAGAACGACTCCGCCTCAAAAGGAAATTTCTGACACTTGCTATGACATGGATTGTACCCTGAGAACATCACAAAAAGACAAATACCGGATGGGTCCCACTTACATGAGGTTCCTGGAGTTTGACGACTCTATGAACTTGTTCACAGAGACGGGATGTAGAATGCTGGTTCCCAGGGGCTGGGAGCAGTGAGGACATGGGGAGCTCTTGTTTCCAGGTTTCAGAGATGGAGTTTCGCGAGATGAAAAGCGTTCCGGAGATAGATGGTGGTGATGCTTTGCAGAACTGTACGAATGTACTTCATATGCCTGAACTGTATACATTCAAAAATGGTTAAGATGGCAAATTTTATGTTCTGTGTATTTTACCGCAATTTAAGACGGGAAAAAGTACATCAGATACTACAAATATTGTTGCACAGGGTAGAGCTAAAGAACTGTTTAAATGGAACATATCTATAAAGGACAACTGTGTGCATGAGACGCTAGGGGGAAGAAGCTGGGGAAATTCAGTAATCCTGTGCTCAGATGGCAGGTGCCTCCAAACACACCACCCCTGGCTTGCCCAGTGCCACAGTCCTCCGTCCCCTGCCACTCGTACACGTGTCTGCTCCTCACGTGGCCCACCCACTGCATCCACGAGAGCTCGATCTGGGCCCTCTGGGGTTTGCACATACCCGGCGGCATCGGGGGTCGGAAGTCCTGAATCCTGACATTCACGAAAACTCTTAGGCTTCACTTTTGCCTTAGCAGTACTCTCGAGCCTCTGCCAGATTTTTCCCAGCACCCTATATCAGACAGGGGGTTCTGGCCCACAGCATGGGGGTCAGGAGGGATGTAGAGCAGTTCAGTTGGTTCTGTGCGTGCTTTCTCCAAGTGGAGGCTGGGCCGGCCCCGTCCCCTCCACACCCTGCCCCCTGGAAGGACCTGAGCTGAACCATGCCCCCTCGTCCTATGCATCCTCATGCCCAGAGCCATGAAGCATCTTAGACACACAGAATGTTGAGGTGGCCCTCTGGGAGCCATCCTAACGCTGACACCAGCTGGAAGAATGGGGACAAGTCCCTTCTATGGGGCATTTCCCCAGCCATGCTCTGCAGGGACATCCCCTGGGTCTTACGCACAGAAAGCTTTCCAAGTTCAAATCTGGTTGGGTCATTATCCTCCTGTCTCCAGCTTGAAATGTCTTCAGCTTCAGATATTCAGGATGGTAATAATACCATGAAATAACAGCTAACATTTATCAAGGGCTTACTGTATGCCCGGTGATACCTGCCCAGGTCTTACGTGCATTACTTTATTGAATAATCCCAACACCTGAGGCTTACCGAGATGAAAGTAACTGGCTGCAAGTCCGGGCTTTCAGGAACAGGCCTTGGGGAGAAGATGAAGAAGCAAAGAGGAAGAGAATTAACTTCCATATTCATGCCTCACTAAAAGCAGCACCTCTTAAACTTTAAAGGGCACACGCATCCCCTGGGAATCTCGTCAGAGAGCCAGTTTTGACTCAGTAGGTCTTGGGCGGAGCCTGAGATGCTGCATTTCTAATAGCGGCAGGCTGGTGCTGTTCATCCAAAGATCAGGCTCTGAGTGGGGAGGCATCGGAGCACTTCCACCGGGGATGGAGCTCCTTCATTCATTCGTTCCCTCACTCATTCATTCGTTCCCTCATTCAGTTGTGGAAGCGGTCTCGTAGCGAGGGGCATGATGGGCTTTGACATTTGGAACCAGGTTCTGATCACTAAGCAGTGACTTCTCTGAGCCCCAGTTGCCCATCTGCAAAATGGGAATGAAACTCACATCTCAGAGAGTCTTTGTGAATATTCACATGCAATAAAATGTGGCAAAAGTCTGCCCCAGGGTCTCAGGCACGGTGGGCATTTCATAAATGGTCATGATTTGAGAGCTCTTTTTATCGGTTCTTTTGTTGATTGATTCCAACAGAGATTTTCACATGGTTCCAATAAGTGTATTTATATGACAGCAAATTTATTTATTGAAATAAATCCCTTCCTTATTAAAATAAATCATTTATTTTAACTTTTACTTATTTGCATATTTCCGCAAAGACATCCCAGTGGCTCTGAAGGCTGCCAGTGATGGGCCCAGAGTCACTATCCTGAATCCGAGGAATGGGCATGGACAAAGAAACATGGCTTCTAATGATTTCCACGAAAGGTGGAAGGAAATTGTAGAGGCAGGCACAGGTGACAAGCTGCGGGAGCCACTTGGCAAATGACTCCACCAGAAGGGAGGAGTGAGAGGTGGATGTGGTGGGGAGAGGGAGAGAGAGAGGCTGGAACTGGGTAAAATGTCAGCAGATCGCAAACTCTTCATTATCCAAGGGGAACTAAAGATTATGTAGGCAATTATAGACAGGCCACCGAAAGCAACAATAGGAAAATGTGGGCCCCAGCCAAATTGCGTGTCCCCTTGAAGAAGGGCTGGGGAGATGGGCTCTGGCATGCCGATCAGGCTTTCTATTCTGAAGGAGAGGGAGAGGGAGGGGGCTGGGGCCTCCCATGGAGGGGGACGCAGGGGTCCCCTCGCCCTGCCAGTCCGGCCAAGCCAGGCACACAGCGCTTTGCTTTGAAAGGCAGCCTTACCCCCAGCTCCAGGCCTGGAATCCACAGCCCCCTCCCTGGGCACTTCCCCCCCCCCAAGATGTCATCTTTTGAGACGATTTCATGTGGAAGCATCGCTAAGTAAATTCGCTAAATGCCTATTCATCCCCGTCAGATGGGGACTCGGTGAAGCAGTAAATGTGAAAATGGCCCCAGCTCAGGGCCCTGAAAGGCGCTTTCTGGGGTTGCCAAATGGAGCTGCGGCCGCTGACCCTGGGAGCCCCCGGAGCCCCGGCCCGGCCCCTCCAATCCTCCCCCTGAGGCCACTGAGAGGCCCTATTTATTATTCCCGCTGCCAGGGACCCATTCAGAGGTTAACTTGTCTCCGTATTCATCAGGACGACAATAATGAACTGTCGCAGAGTGGCGAGGGGGTTGGTAAATAGGAACTGCTAAGACGTGGAGAGGGAATGGGCCTCCTTACGGTTTGGAAAGAGTGCTTTCTTTTTTTTTTTTTGTATGGTCTCATTTCTCCCGGCAACTTCGAGAGGGCCTGTGCCCACAGCTGCCCCATAACTTGGTAGGAGGCACATGGGCTTTCCCTTGCAGCATGCGGGCACGGTTGTCCACACAGGAAACGCACCATTTTGCAGACACGTGGGGTTTGGCTTTTGTCTGCAGCCCTGGGATTCACCCTTGTGCGCCCCCGCGGGGCTTGGCTTGCTGCGTGCGTAGCAGATGGACCTCCGTGCAGACACGGGGCTTCTCGGCCGCCGCTAGAATGGGCTGGCTATGAGTCGGGGTTTAGTTCAGGGGTAGGATGTTTTCACTGCAGTGCCTCTTAACCGCTTGGTGCCCCCTCCGCCGGAATTATGAGTTGGTCACCATGAGTCATCCAATCACGGAACAGGGGCTGGCGGTGGCTGTAGGGAGTTGCAGGGAAATGAAGGAGGGATGCCGGGTGGGGGCCGCTCAGACCAGACGGTGGGGAGGTGGAAGGAGAGAGCACCTTGCATTTATTGCACACCTACCCTATGCTCTTTTAGTGCACCCAGTTATCCGTTCGCTCTGTAGGCACAGAGAGCCTGCTATCTGCTGGGCAGCCAGGGGAGTTCAGAGCAGCCCCCCCACACACACCCCGAGGTTCAGTTACTCACCCTTGGACACACAGCTGGGTCAGGAGTGGAGCTGGGATCTGTCTCCAGACCCTTCTGCTTTGAGAGCCCAGGTATTGCTTTCTGAGGCACCCACCTGCCTCCCAAAGGTCCGGTGGCCTCCATTCTCTGCCCAAGGACGGCCTTCCTTTCTACCGCTTCCGTCCTGTCCCCCGCTTTGAAACAGTGGTTAACCCTTTCCTTCTGAAGTAAAAATCCAGCACCGTTTACCTGTTTGGGTTTATTCAGCAGAAGAGACGACTGCATTTCGGGCAGATGGAGACCCGTGTGACTGCCTTTTAAAATACGGTCACAGCTGTGTGCACAAGCCGATTAGCTGTGACTACACTGCGGGTTCCGAGACTGATGGCGATAAATTTGGGATAACAATGCTGGGAACGACGTCATCTGTTTGGCTCACGGCAAAGTCCCACTAGGCTCTGCCTTCATGGAGCTTACATCATAATATCAGCAAATTTAACACTCAGTAATGGACACAGAGCGATGTGATAAAGGTGAAGGTGGGGGAGGCAGATGCTACTTTAGGTTGGGTGGCCAGAAAGGGCCTCTCTGAAGAGGTGACATTTGGAAGGAGACCCGGATGACATAACAACAAGCCAGACCTGGAAAGAGACAAGGCAGAATTTCCCAGGCACACCAGGTGCAAAGGCCCTGAGGTTGCTAAGTATCTGGCATCGCGCTGTACACCGATGACTTCATGTTTGCCAAGCCCAGTGCCGGGCACTGGAGATTCTAAAACAGCTGGGGCACCATGCTTACCCTCAAAGAGTTCACAGACTATGGAACATGTAGGATACACACACACTAATAGTCCTTTTTAACATAGTATGGTAAGTCCATGGTCTCTGGAGGACTCTGACCTTCCTCTTGGTTTGTTTCCACAGGACAAATGACCAGCTGGTGGCATTTCTCTCCCGATACCGAGATATGAATTTCCTGAAGTCACACGGCCGGGACAATGCAAGGTAGTACATCCTATCACCCCCCCGACCCTTGTGCAAGATGGAAATGAAAATCCAAGTGCTCATTTGGGGCTTCCTTCCAGACTGGTTTGTTGCAGCCAGAGAAAGTAGATAGTGGGAGAAAGGCATGGCTCACATGGCCCCTTTCACCTAAGATCTGAATTGGTCTCTCATGTTAGCCAAGGACCCGAATAATAGCAAATGCGTCTCCTCGCGTGTTAGCCCTTTACACCTTTTCTTCCGAGCACTTTCCTGAGTCTGTTTATCTCATTACGGCAACCCTTTGAGGTAAGTAGGGCAGCTGTGGCTAATCCCCACTTTATTGGTGGGAAGACCGAGGCCCCTAGTTGAAGCAGTGGGCTCAGTTCATCGGGTGAGTGACGTGGGGCCATCACTGGTCAGCCAGTCACTCAGCAAATATTTGCCCCATGCCAAACACGTGCCAGGCACCCTTCTAGAGGTGAACAAGACAAAAATCCTCATTCTCATGGAATTTACTTCAGAGGGAGAAAGAGTCTCTCGCCGGCATGGAGTTGAGCTCAAATATCCTGACTTGTACCCCGTGCCCACGCCAGTGCCTCGCTCTTGCCGCCCAAGACACGGGGCAGGGGCTCGAGGCACCAGAAGCGCGATCTGAATCCATTGCACCTCACACTCACCTAGAATGAGTGAGGCCAAACAGCTTTGAGCCGCATCTACATCTCTGGCCAGGGATCAGCTAGAAGGGATTCAGTCTCGAGCGCCCCCTGTAGGGGAGATCACAGGACCGGCCTCACCCCTAACAAAAACCCAGCCCCGGATCACTCTGACGTGCTGGAGGTTTTTTCCTAGCGCTGAACTCAGACCATAACCTGCCCACACATGGGATAATTTGAGCGCCTTCCTGTGTTTTGTTTGGGCCTCGCGTTGGTTTGGTTTGGTTTTGCTTTAATTCAAGTGCTTCATTTGAAAATGAATAGCCGCGTGTAAAAATAGCAATGTTTCCCAGGCACATTCAGATTTCAGCTCCTGTTAAAAGACCCCGGCGGTGTCCACTCACTCTGGGCCTGAGTTTTTTCATTGGAGGCTCTCCCCCGGGTCCTACACGAAGCCTGCGTCCTCCAGGTCACTGCAGGCCTCACCTGTCCCCCTTCCCTACTTAGCCCCCCCAATGGCCTTTCGGTTTGCAATCTGTGCTTCGGGTGTTCTCTGCCAGGGCTGACGGAGGCGTCATTTTGGCTGGCTCTGGAGCTCCGCTCACCCAGTTACCCATGGCACGGGAGGGGCAAAATGCAAGCAGTGAGCTCCATCTCCCAAGCTCTCCATATGTAAACCCAGAATCCTTCGTTGTGTCATTTCTAAAATTCTAACTCTGATTTCATCCAGCTCTTGAAAGATTGTTCCTATCCTACTGGCAGCCTGCATTTTTTTTTTTTTTTTTTTTAATGTTTAGAAGGAGCTCCGCCACCCCCCAGCCCTGACTTGAGGATGCTTTGTAAATCAGCCCAGATGAGCATGTTCCAGCCGCAAAGGGTAGAGAGGCCTGGGGTAGACATGGAAGAATTATAGCCCCTGGGCGTTGTGTTCCTAGTAAGTGCCCCGCTCTGCTGACCCTTTTCCTGCAGGATCTTCTCAGAGCCATTCAGTGCAAAATAAGAATTACTATCCCCATCTGTCAGGAGAAGCAAGGGGGTCTTTGGGAGTCCAAATGATTTTGCCAAGGTTACACAACTGGTAAGTGCTAGAATTTGAACCCAGTTCTCTGGCCCCAAAGCCCAGGTGGAGCAAGGCTGAGCTGAACAAGATTCCGTGCAGGTGTTCGTTATCAAAACTGGCCCAGATGGTGGTGTCTAGGCCCTTAGGTAGAGAATGAAGACCCTTCTTCCCCTCCCCTCCAGGTAACCTTGTAATAACACGTTTGGTGCAAAGTCGCATCCTGAGAAAGGAGCCCATCATACCTTGATAGACCTGGGTCTGAATTACATCCGCCCTAGTAGTATGCCAGCCTAGTCAGTATTTATTCTCTCGCCACTATTTCTAGGCCCTGGGCTTGGGACCAGGGATAGCACAGAGGTTAAAATCACGGGCTTTGAGGTTGTACCTCCTGGATTGGGGTCCTGCTCTGTCACATCCTAGCTGTGTTGAATTAGACGGGTGACTTAACCTCTCTGAGCCTGTTCGCTTACCTGTATTAGACCTGCACCCACAGGGTTGAGAGGAGTCAATGGATGCTGCATATAAAGCATCCAGCGTATAGTAAAGGCCCTATGTGATGATGGTGAGGAGGAGGATGGTGATGCCATGGCTGTGATAAGCAGAGGACAAAAATATTGCTGGTGGAAGAAATAGATAGTTGGTGTTTGGGCCAGAGTTGAGCCTCTGGATGTGTGGGTACATCCTGTCTAGCTGATATGCACCGGTAGTCAACAAGTAGTACCCAAAGGGCACAGGATGAGATGAAGATTCAGGCTAAGATGTGGCTCACACCTCCTCCCAAAACCCTAAAACCCAAGGCTTTCTGAACAGAAAAGCTCACAAGTTCCACCACCCATGAATGAGCCCTTGGCTGGTTTTCTCTCACTAAGATGAATGAAGGGCAACAATTGAATATTCATTTCGTAGTAAAATGAGCCATCATCTGCCCACCCCACCCCCCCCACCGCCCTCTGTCAGCTGGGGCCTCACCTGCTGCATGAGCAGCCTAGCCACGGCGTATCCTCTGTCATCCCCTCCACAGGGCACAGAGCGGCCATGGCTTAGCTCCAGTCCCGGCACGGGTGGTGTGTTACAAAGGACGCTTGGTGGCAGATGACAGAAACCCAGCTGAAACTAGGCTAAGCGAGTAAAGGAAGTTAATGGAAGGAGAACATTGGTGTCCAACTTCGGATAGGGCTGAATCAGGCAGTTCAGATGATATCATCAAGCCCAGACTCCGTTAGTTCTTGTCTTTTCCTTTTGTGTGTGGGTTTTGGGGTTTATTTTTTTGTTTTTGGTTTTTTTTGGCTGTTGAATTATTTACTATTATTCCTGGAGCGGGTTAAAGAAAAATAAACACATCAAATAGCCAAGGAGTTCAATAACAAGAATCTTTTTCTTTGTCTTTTTTAATTGGGATGTAATTGACATAACATTAGATTAGCTCCAGGTGGAAGACATAACCATTCGTTATTTGCATATATTGCAAAATAATCACCATAAGTCTCGTTACCATCCGCCAGTGCACAGAGTTACATTTTTTCCTTGTGATGAGAACGGCTCAGATCTACTCTCTTAGCCGCTTTCAGATATACGATACAGTATTACTGACTGCACGTCACATTCTCACGTCTCCGGGACGGATTTATTTTACAACTGGTCATTTGTACTTTCTGACTACCTCCTTACCTTCTGTTAGTTCTCGTTTCCTTTGTGTTGGTTTGATTTTTCTGGCTTCAGATGGCGACTGTTTGCAACTTATTAGCCTCGTTTTACAGATGAGGAAACGGAGACGTTAAGTAACTCACTTAAGCCCACACAGGGCAGGGCTAGGACTCAAACCTGGGGGGTGGGTGTCCCCAGAGCCCAAGCTCGTGACCCCTGCATGATGCAGCCTGTCTGTGCTCTGGGCCTGCCTTCCTCCCATATGCTGGGCGGCCTCAAGGCAGCCACTCTCCTTCTCTGGGCTTCATGTCCTCCCTTGGAAAAAACGAAGGGGATGAACAAGATGGTCTCCGAGGCCCTTCCCGTTCTGACGCTCTCTGCTCCTGGACTCACCCTTGTAAAAGAGAAAAACAAAGAGTTTGAAAGACCAAATGATGTGAGGAGGCCGGAGCACGCAGTGAGACACAAAATAGGCCACGGGGTGCCTCGGTTTTTAATTCCACATGGTTCCTAATAGCGGTGTTGACCTTCTGTCCCCATCTCCAGCCCTTGGCAGCCCATTTGGATTCCCAGCTCCAGCTGCGAAGAGACAGTATAAAGGCAAACTAATATTTTAATAGCTGCCAAATTGGTCCTGACTGTTCCTGTAATTAAATGAAGGGGAGTGTTGTGTTCACCGTTTCTCCTTGCTTTCCCTCCAAAAATTAAAGTAACCAGATACAGCAAAAGCCAGGCAGCACAGTTAACCATTTTCCCAGCGAGCCTCTGCAGGCCGAGCAGAAGCAGGGGCCCTCAAGTCCACTGTGAGTCTCAGTGTGCAGGTCCTAGCAGACGTCCCCCAGAACTCCTGGCTGCTTCTGTCCGGGGGCCCTGCGAGACATTTCTCAAATGTCTGCAGCCTGGGTGTGGGGGAGCCCCTGACAGGGGACAAAAGGGAAAATCCTTTCCATCAGCCTGAATAGGATTTCCTCTGGGACTTTGCCTGCCTCGATCCATCTGAGCTCGCCACCTGATCCAAGGTCCCCAGGGTCCCCATGCTGAGCCCGGGAACGCAGTGGGGTGCGGGGCTAAGCACCTGCCCACTGGAGGCTCGGCCCCTGTGTTGAAATGCCGCCTCTGTTTCCTCATCTTTGTAACATCGGAACAGGGAGGTCAGGATTGTGGAGGACCAAGTGTCCTCACTGACCCCAGGAAGGCCCCGAGCCAAGCACTGTCCACTGTGTTGTCTCATTCCAACCTCACTTGGCAGGTGCTGCCCCCTTTTAGAGATGAGTACGACTGAATCATGGAGAGTTGTTTTCGTGGGCTCACGGTTCCACAGCCGCTGGGCAGCAGGGCTGGGATTGGAACCTGGTTCACTCTGACTTTAAAGACCTGGGTGGGTTTTTTTTGTGTGTGGGGGGGGGTATTTGTTTGTTTGTTTTTGGTCACACCATGATTCGTGACTGCATCTGAGAGGACCTGCACTTTTAGGTTCTTGGGAGGGATGTAGATGAAAGAGCAAAATCCTAACTTTAAGCAGAAGCGTTTTTTCAATGATTTGGGGAGGGGAGATTAGGTCCTTTCCCTGCTTTGTAGGGTCAGCATATCCCAACGTGTGTTCACGATCCAGCAGTGTGGTATGCGAGATGGTTTCTGGTAGTTCATTCACAAGCATACAGGGA